ACTTTAGCTAGCCCCAAGAACCACATGGCAGGAGCTTTATAATCTTCAGCGCCCTTTTGACACTGCACAGTTATAGTGCTAAAATTCAATTTAGGCCCCTTCTACACAGCCCTAACATGTGGGCTGCAAAATGGATTAACCTGAGGCATCAAAATAATGCATCAGGCCAATCCAGTTTAGCCCAAAGTAAACTTGCAACCTCATCACACAGAGGAAAGTGAACATCCTAGCATGCTACCAGGATGCTTCCTCCTCGGAGCCCGCCGGACGCCCTTACATGACATAAGGCAACTTCTCCTGCGGCTCCATGAAGGAAGCATCCTGACAACATGATAGGATGCTTCCCTCGGGACACAGGAGGTTTCACATGCACTGTGGGGAGGAACAGCATCAGTGCAGGGGGAAGCCACTTGGCAACGCTTTCCCATGTGTGATGGGAAAGCGTCGCTGTGGGCAAAGTGGGGTACTGGGTGCTGGGATTGTCTTGCTGATTTACCACAAAGGCTGGCAAATTGCCCCACTGCCCCTCAGCAATATGATGGAGTTCTTAGAAATCCAGGTTTATTCTGGGTTAAAAATACCTGGGAACACGTGGACCTTCCAGGAAGGTCCACAATTTTCCAGGTATGGAGTATGTGGGGACTGACGCTTAGGATCCACGAGCTGTCCCGCTGTGAAATGGCACACTCCAAAAGGGCCATGTGGCAAGGTTCCAGGATTCACTGAAGCATCCTTTGTCCACATAGTGTTTTATTTTGCAATGGCCCTTAAAATACAAATAATGACATGAAAGAACATAACAATACAATAGGAAATGACCAGTAATTAAAACAATTATCTTCTTAGCATTTCACACACACAAAAACTGCAGGGAATCCTTAAAGTAGGATTCTGTCAGGACAGGGAAGGGTTTAAGCCAGGGTGTCAAACTCATTTTCATTGAGAGCTTCCTCAAAAGGGCCATTGAATCAATGGACAGACAATCTCTGGATACAAGAGGCCAGATATATTATTTTACATAGTGGTCAGTGCTCTTTAATTTTTACCCATTTCAGGTGCACAGATGTTATTGGACAACAACTCCCATCACTTTTGGTTATCTGCCATGCGGACTGAGGATAATGAGAATGTTAATGCAACAGGAATATGAATTATCAGTCAAGTAAAAACCCATGCTGCCAGCAGTGTATGAAATAAACCGCCGGAATGTGCAGAATGTGAAGGAGCATGCGTAGAACAAAGAGGAAGTGAAGTGTTGTCACTACTGGCAGGGTAGATTCTTAATTAATGAGGTGATAAAAGTTAGTTAAAATATAAGCAATCAGCATTGTTCTGTCTCTTTCATCCTGACCATGTGCTATTGTAAATTACTGAAATGTAAATAAAGAGCAGTTTAGAGCAGAGAAAGTGTTTGAAGTCAGTTAATTGGAATCAGAAACAGCATGTTGGCCAGCTAATTGCACTGATAGAGAATTGCAACCCAATTGTGGCTCTGAGGTTAGGGAAAGGTTAATGAACATTTTAAAATCAGACATCATATCCACAAGTCTTGTATCTAAATTCAAACTCCACTATCCTGATTAAACAGAACAGACTATTTCAGATGTTACTGTTTCACAACTCCCATCAGCACTAGTTGTGCTGTCTAATGATGAGGAATACAGGAGTTGTAGTCCAGCATCTGGAGGGCCACATAAATGACATGGAGGGCCAGAATCAGCCTACGGGTCTTGAGTTTGACAGATTTGTTTAAGCTTTCGCCACTGACAATTACCTAGTGGAAATCCCACCCTAAACTTTTGGATGCAAAAACCATTGAAGGGTAAGTATTAAAACCTATCACACTCAACCCAGAGAGTCCCCCATAGCTATTTTTTCTAAATCATATTAGCTAAAAATATTTTAATATAATCAGATAGCTTGAACAATCAGGTTTCAAATAAATTAGCTGAGATGTGAACAAACCTTTTGTCTATGGATGCAGCCCTCTAACATGACTAGGTAAACCATATGGGAAGTTTTCATTCACAAGAGTTACTTGTTTTATTGGGTACAAGAAATGATTAAGTTTCATAATAAGCCAGGAGACTAAAACAGCTTCAAACTATGTTTTAATATCTTAATCTCTTTAAAGTTGGAAACCATAATTTATGGTTTGAATAAATAAGGAAGCAACACCTAAGAGAACATTTCCTGGTTTATTTACTGGGTCACAGATGACCTGGCAGTTAAACAAGGGAATGAGCACTAAGTGTACAGGAAAAAGTATTGTTTCAGTCTATCAAGCCATGATATTATTGTCCAAATATACTCTATGTGTAGTTTCGTCCTTTGTCATTGCTCATAATATGGCTTATGGTATCTATATGGAGCTTTGGTTGTGAGATGTCCCTGAATTTATTCTCTTTATAAATGACCATTTTTTATATTTCCAAAATTCTAGCTCTAACTGAAAACAAATAAAAAACAACCATATTTTAGGCCTTCGTGGATTGAAAAGACAAATTAGTATCTGGAGTGGCAAAATTGTATTGCCTAGCAACTTCCTCTAATGAAGAACTTCAAAATGCATTTCTGCCTGCAACTTTCTGATAGATGAGGAAGCAGTACATCTATACCATTTGAAGCATAATAGTCACTGTTAAATGCCATTAACAATGGGTCTGGGACCAGCTGGGAGGATGCAGCCTGGATACAGTTGGAGTGCACACTTCCAGATAGTCATTAAATGGAATTATGAATTAAATTGCTTAAACTGCATGTGTTCAATATAAAACTGTCCAATGAAATAATGGGGGCTTCCTTAAAAGGCAAACATGGAGAACTTACGTGAAGTTTTCAGAATTTTCTCAAATAACTGCTGGAGGTGATTTTAAAAAAGGAAGGGGGAAAGAGGTATCTCAGGAGAACGAAACAATAATAAAAATTTAAGGAAAGAAGCTTCTCTTATGTAATGCCTAAATATTTATGGCTGGGACAACACACTTTAAATATTGGTCCTAATTTTCTTCTGTCTGCTTTGATTAGTAAGTGAAACAAAAACTGGAGAGCATCCAGTGGAATCCGGTGGAATAGCACGTCTCAGGATGCTAAAAAAATGTTCTTTGGTAAAAATCCCTTAGATTTCCTGTCTCAGACATTTCTAAAACATGGATTTGAAGTGGCCTCTCAAGAAGGCCTAAAGAGCATTCATATGCTAAAATTTATTTTCAGCAAAGACCATCTTTTTAGCATCCTGAGCCATACCTCCTTTTTCTTTTTCTTTTTTTAAATAAAAATTTCAGCATGTCGAAAGAAATATACATCCTGGTACTTGTCATAGGATGTGTGCTGAAGAAATATGCGAAGCTGGTGATGCATTTTCTTGTGAGTGTTTGTTCAACGCATGATGGTCCTGTAGAACAGGTTCCCTTGACTGTGCAAAGTTGCTTTCGTTGCTGCTGTTTGATTTTTAGACAACTGATAATGACAATGCATTCTAAGTAAAAGGATAAATCTTTATGCAGAAGACTTTGTAAATTATCACTTTCTCAAAACACCAGATTCAAACAAACTGGGGCCCCATCTACACCACAGGCAGCCCAGGGAGATGGGATGGCAGTGCCTCCCAAGACTCCCTGGACCTTGTTTCCTCCCCCAAATGCAGGGAAAGCCTACGTATTGTTGCTGGAGGCGACCTTCTTTTTGGATTGTGTCGTTCAGGATGCAACACATTTTTGGAGGGAGAGAATTTCAGGCTTTTTCTACATTTGGGGTGGGAAATGGGGCACAGGGAAACTTAGGAAACCATTGCCAGCTGTGCTTGTTCAACCTGCATTATGTGGCTGTATGGAAGCACCCTAGCACCCTAGACTATGAATAACCAGCAATAATTCATTTTGTTGATTGCTGTAAGAAATAAACAAGGTGCTGGACTTAACAACAGGGATCCTCATATACAGGCAGTCCTCAAATTACGAAGAAGATCAGTTCTGTTTTTAAGTTTATAAGTTGGAGCAGGTACATTTTTTAAGTGCAACTCCAGCCAAAACTATTTTTAAGCTTTGGATTGCACAGAGAAGTGTTGTTTGTTTTGCTGTCTATTCCCCTGTTCAGAAGATTTAATCTCACTTTTTTGGATTTTGAAAAAAATGGCTTGTTATGGAAACAAGGATTGATGAGAAAGCTTCAGTTGAGACACCTTTTCCCCATGGTAACTCTTTCAGAAGTGAATTTCTTTTCCTATGAGTAGATTTCTCTCATTTCCTGTTGTCTCGCCTCTGTTCTTAACTATAAGTCATTTGTAAGTTGGATGTTTGTAACTCAGGGTCTGCTGTACTCTCATCAAAAGATGCAATCATTTTCTTCCCTAAATATTATCAGAATCCCAGGAGCAATTAGAACCATGGTGCAGCATTAACAATAAAATGAAGCATGAAAACTTTTAAGAAAACTGATCCATTCTTGATATCATAGTTGTAGAACCCAAGTTTCAACTTTTCCTTATTTCACCTCCACAGCTATCAAATATACATTGACCCAAAGTCAGGTTTACACTTTACAAAAAATATTTTAATCAACCCAAACTTTGTATTGTCTCAAGATTTTGAATATAATAGTCTGAGGGCCTAAAGATCCTAAAGGCACCAGATCCTGTCTGTACCTGGAAACTAAGCATGGTCAGGTTAGTACTTTGAATGGGAGACTTCTAATGAGTATCTGATGTTATAGGCTGTTCAGGGGAAGAAATTGGAAAACCACATCTGAGTATTCCTTGCTAAGAAAGTTCTCTATGAAATTCACGGAGTCGCTATAATTTGACAGGTGACTTGAAGGCACGCGTGCACACACACACACACTAAACACTGGACAAAGCAATGAGGTAAAGAAGATGTGGGAAAACAAACCACTTGTATTAATGTAGTCTTTAATAAAATGCTTTCTCTTTCTAAAAATGTCACAGACCCCAGCACTTAATCTTTTTGGTTTTCTCAACCAACTGCTCTTTTAAGGGCACTCACCATGATCATGAGAAAATACGAAAAAGTTGTTCCCTGTCAACATCTGGGCCAAATCATCATAACGACAGCAGTGTTCTCCAGCACCATGAGCAACAAACACCAGGCCCCTAAATCATGAAGATAAAAAGTACAGTGTTAATAAGCAGGAAATATATAGGCAAACAAGTTGGTGCTTTTTAATTATCAGTATTGTTTTCAACAACACATAGTTTCACATCTTCAAGACCCTTTGGCTTCTCCTGTTTCAATCCACTTATTCATTGTGCTCAAAATCTGCAAATCTCAGCTGGAATCCTTTTGGGGAGCTACAGCTTTTAAACCACCTCATCACACAAGGGGAAAATGACTCCTTGCTTCTCTTTGGGTGGACAGCCTGCTGAGCACCATCACATAACGCAGGCCATGGCCCCACTGCATTGATGGCCAAACTGGAGAGGATGCGTCGCAAGACGCTTCTTCACCAATAATAGGAGGTAAGTTGTCTTTTGGGTAGCTCAGACAGAGCTACCTGCAGTTTTGGCCCTTTTCCCATCTGGTGGGGGCAGGGGCAGGGTGCCAGTGTGCCTTGCCCCGATGCCCCCATGTGATGGGGGAAGAAGGGAGGGCATGCAGGTCGCTGGTGAAACAGAACAAAATAGAGGGGGGAGAGACATCAATATGATGACGTCGTCTATTACACTTACAACTAGAGCAGAGCTTCTTAAGCTTTTTCCACTCGTGACCCCTTTCAACCTGAGAAATTTTTACATGATCCCAGGTTTATAGATATATATAATAGGTATAAAAATCAAACATTTACTGGTAATAAATCAAAATTTGAAAAGCTTGCTAAGCAGGCTGATTTTTTTTAATGAAGTACAGCTGAAGTATTTTCTGCGGAGTCCACTGTAAACACTGCACTTTGTTGCTAACAGATTAATGTAAAAGTTTAGGTGGCATTCAGAAACCTGTTACTGTTGCCAAATATATTGTGGCTCCAACATAGAGCTAAGGGGACCCCATTTGGAGTCAGAACCCACAGTTTAAAACCCTCTGAACTGGAGTAGGGCTTCTTAAACATTTCCAATAAATTTTTAAACGAACCTGGTATATATGTATATAAAATAAGTAGAAAAATCAAACATTTACTGATAACAAATCAGCATTTGCAAAATAGGCTGATTTTCCTTCTTATGAAGTACAGCTGTAGCATCTTCTGCAGAGTCCACTGGAAACTTTGCACAACAGATTAGTGTAAACATGTAAAACTGCCATTAGGTTATGAACAAATAAGTTTTATTGTTACCAGATTTTTGGGACCTCAACATTGAGCTAAGGGGACCCCATTTGGGGTTGGGACCCACAATTTGAGAAGCAGTGGTCTAGAACAAAGCTTCTTAAACTGTGGGTCGGGACCACATTTTGGGTCACCTTTATGAATGTTGCAGGTCAAAAGAGAAGGAGAAGAAACCAAGCCCAAGCTGCTGAGGCAAGGAAAAGGGTGCCAGTTGAGGCAGGGGAGCAAAGAAAGGAGGAAATCCTTGCCAGCTACTTTAGACATTTAATGCCCATAATTCTCCCCAACTGCACCCCCTTTCTTGAAGGAAATCAGTGTGAGTTTTTTATTTATTTTAATGATTACACTTTAATCTTCCTGTAGAGCTTGGCTTGGAATAGGATGGGCCCTCAGTATCCATGGATGCAACCATCTACAGTCTGAATGAATATGTGTGTGTGTGTGTGTGTGTGTGTGTGTGTGTGTGTGTGTGTATATATATATATATATATATATATATGGCACACCATTTTGCTACATGCTTGCATATTATGGAACTTGAGTATCCATGAGGTTTGGTATCCATAAAGGGCCTTGAAACTAAACCCCAGTGGATACTGAAGTCTCACTGTATTTTACTAAAGGGGCTTGGATTTTATGTGCTTAGGAATTAGACATACACTAATTTTATTGATGTAAAACAGTTGACTCTGTATCCACAGATTTGACAATCCTATATATATGTATTCCTATTTCATATACCTTTGTATCTGGGGTTGCGTAAAAATTTCTCGGGTAAAAAGGGTTGAAAAAGTTTATGAAGCCCTAGTCTAAAGGACTTAGAATTCGGCAATTCTGTAATGTCCATAACAAATAGAGGGCCGTCATTCTTGTACATAGCAGAAATGAAACTGACAGGCATTATATCACCCCCGATACACATCAGGCATTACTGACATCTTTGAAATTACAGTGTCTTTGAAATTAATTAGACCAGACAAAGGATCAGATTAGGAGTTAGAAGGCTGGATGCAGATTTACTAATTGGACCAAACAGATTTGGGGGAAATGTATGAATTAAATAAATAGTATTCTTGACATCATGGGAGCTCATGGGTGGACACATGAAACTCTTACACGTTATTTTCTTTATCCCTTTCTCATGAATTAACAGAATAGCACACCATTAATTGAAAAGAATCCCTGAAAATGACTGTAGAGAACACTTAGCCTTAAGGAGCCCATCTGCAATTTATGGTACTCCACCCTGACATATATTTTGGTATGTAGGAAACTTCAATAACACTAGGCCTTCTAAGCACTCACCCAGCATTTGCTGGGCTACTTTGGCTGTAAGCCTTTGGTGTGTCAATCAATTTTGCAATATTGCCTTAAAGTGATTCTGAGCACCACTGCAATAGAAGCAAATCAATCTTAGGATCCCTGTTGGATCTCATGCTATCCAGAATACTTGTTTTGATGCTTCTTTTCATCTTCAGATATTGTGATTATATGGCCGTAAGGCTCTGATACAACTTCCAAGTAGAAACCAGAGCAAGCAACGGCTTTTTGCACATGCTAGAATTATGCTAATTCCAAATCCCTCTCATAAGTGAGAGAATACAGCAGCACTCAGAACTTCATAAAAACCATCTCTGCATGTGGTTGCAAGAGAATGGATTAAACCACCCATTTTGGCTAAAAGTCAATAAATACTTGCCATTTTAAGCATAATAGTTTGAAAATAAATTCTGTTGAAGCCAATATAGTAAATGACTGCCATATACACCATTTGCTTGGCTTTAAGCAAGTGTGCAGGAGGACAATCCGATGAGCTTTGCAACATAGGTCTATGACAACCGTATCCTGGGGTTTTCTTGGCAAGATTTATTCAGAGTAGGCCTTTGCCTTTCTCTTTGACTGTGAGTGTGTAACCTGCGCAAGATTAGGTAAAGGTAAAGGTTTTCCCCTGACATTAATCCAATCCTGTCCATCTGTGGGGGTTGGTGCTCATCTCCATTTCTAGGCTGAAGAGCTGTCAATAGACACCTCCAAGGTCATGTGGCCGGTGTGACGGCGCAAGTGGCGCCACCTATGTGTAGAACTGTTAGTTGCAAGATTTAAACTGTTGTATCATGCTTAATCCTGCCCCTTTTACCCTGATATGTATAGTTGTATGGATTGGTTACTTATAGCTGTCAATCAGTACTGTTTGGCTCCACCTCTTCCTGCAGGAAGGGAGTGCTTCCTTTCTTTTCATTCTGCCATCAGAGTTTGTACCAGATGGATGTGAGTAATAGACTTGACTCTAAAAGACCCTGATTTAAATTACCTCTCAGCACCAGTTCTGAGGTTTTTTACCCTTGAGACTTGTGCTTCATGTTCAGACCAACCTGAACAACGTTGGAAGTCTCAAGTGCCTTCAAACCGGTTCTTTTGGCACCAAAGGAAGATCCTGAGTCTTCAAACATAGGCCATCTGAACTGGGGTTGTGGTTTGCTCCGGCATTCACAGCCATTGAGGAAAGAGGAAACTTGGAAAGGCTTCTCAGCTTCAAACACCTTGGACCCAGGACTAACTGAGACTGTAACGTATATTTTCCTTCACCCCTCTGAAGTTTCCAGCTCATTGCTTTAAAGAAATAACTCTTTGTGATCAATAAAACTTATTTTGAGTTATTTACAGCGTTTTGGGTTTTTGGGAGTTCCAGTTTCCTATAGGAGGGCAAGAAGCAATCCCCTGGGGGAAAGATGCCACGTCCATCCCTCCTTTATTGAGAATAATAGCCCCCAGGCGCAATGGCACAGCCGGCATGACTACATGGAGCGCCGATACCTTCCCGCCAGAGTGGTACCTATTGATCTACATGCATTTGCATGTTTTCCAACTGCTAGGTTGACAGAGGCTGGGGCTGACAGCGGGAGCTCACGCCACTCCCCAGATTCAAACCTGCGACTTTTGGTCAACAAGTTCAGCAGAGGCCCAAGATTACTCAATGGATTTTCATAGCTGAATGGGGATTCAAATTGTAGACTTGAAGAGCCCAGTTCCAGCAGTCAAATGATTACATCATGTTATTTATAATGACACAACCTGGTTAAAATTAGCAGGGAGATTATGCAGGTATGAGAATTTTAAATAAGTAGTACACATGAGTGGTATTTGACATAGCTTCTGAAAGGATCGTCACATTTATTTATTTATGTATTTACTACACTTGTGCCCCACCCTTCTCACCCCATTGCTTTAATTATGTTCAATTTGTAGCAATGAGAATACATCCTGCATATCAGATATTTACATTATGATTCATAACTGTAGCAAAATACCAGTTATGAAGTAAGGAATGTACCATATGAGCAAATCACAGTGACCACGAGGGGAAACTGTATTTAGGGGTCAGAGCATTAGAAAGGTTCAGAACGACTACCCTAAGGGAACTCAAAACGGTAAGTTTTAGGGGTGAAATCAGGGGCTTCAGGGTGGCTTCATGGCTCATGGCATGTAGCCACTCCTCAAGGAAAACCCGGGGTTTGGGTTGAGGGTGCAGACTAGAACCTATGTGGAAGTGGTTTTTTTAACCCGATTCTGCACGGGTTTTAGATCTCTCTAGAAGCACCCACAGAGGCATAATTCAATACAGAGGACAGGAAATATTTCAGAGGTCTCAAATTACTAGAGAAATAATACCCTATCCTGTTCTTATTTCTTTAGCAAATTATCTTGAAAATTCAAAAGGTGAAACTTTTTCACAGGTGACAATAAAGAATTGGCAGTCATGAGGTCTTGTCCATTGCTCTTAGGCCAGGCTTGTAATTATGTTACTAGCTTGTCAGCCTGCAATGATTAAGA